TACTCAGAAGTGTGTGAACTAATTTGGCGAAACGCATTTTCACTGCAGCAGCAAGTGCTGCCTGTTTTCAACAGTCTGCTATAAGAGACATCGATTATACAGCTTTGACATGCGGCTGAATCCATGAAAACTCTGATATGTGTTTCAACAATAGCTCTTCAAATGGTATTGGAATCGAGGAAATGCTGCCTGTAACCCTGACATCAGTGTTCTGTGTGCCTCAGTAATACAAGGGAATCCACAGCAGCTGTCAAGGGCCTGCATTCTAACCTGTGGGAAGATGCCTGAAGGTATGCAGAAGAGGGAGGCTAGGGAAATATGGGCTTTTAAACCATGACTGTCTTGGAAATACGGAGCTTTATTCTGGTTTACCAGAGGCGTTTATCTTCACTAAAAATGCAGATGTTTTATATGCCAAAGTCACTGGATAAAAGAGCTGATAGCTGAAACAAAGACTGGAATGCAGATCTTCCTCCTCCCAGGTGATGGCCTGCTCTCTGTGTGTGTGAAGTCTTTTTGTTTGCAGGATGGACCTTTGATGTTCCCTGCAAGGTGGATCAGTCTCAACGGGAGAGATTGAGAGCTTCCCGCTATAAATGAACAGATCGGCTGTAGACAGAACACTTTCTTGGAGAAAGGGTGGTCTGAATCCTAGCAAGAATTAAACCCAGATCTCCCACACCGGAGCAAGTGTGCCACTTCACTCTTGTTGAGTAGAGCTACTGCATGGGGCAAAGCAGCTCTACCTCCAACTACTTTCCCCCCCACTAGCCGCCCTCCCCAGAAGTGAAGGAATCTGCTCTGAGTGCCATCTGGATCAAACCCCTCAGATGAAGCCCTCAAGAAGGGCTTGTGAATACAAGTGTGAGACTAAGCTGCAAGATGGGGTGGTAAGCTGCTCAGGCCTGCCGAAATTGGATGTGCCTGAAAGCAAAATTTCATGTGATTAGAGAATGGAAAACTTTTGAGGTGCCTGGGGAATCCTGGTAGCAGCTGAGAGGATGAATGTGAAGACTGAAGTTTTTCATTTGTGTATCTACTGTGGGTTTTTCCAATTTATTATTTTTTTTTTAAACATAAATTCCTTCTGTGGATTTAAACCTAGGTGCTTGAAAAAATTGCTGTTTAAGTTCTTCAAGAAAAATACCACATCAGTCCATCTCATCAAAATCAGCTCAACTCTCTGCTGTGCAATCACAGAAATAATTTCTGATGATGGATTTATGTATATGAATGCCATACAATTCACAACTAATATCAGTTCTAACACAGGAATGGTTCGACTAGAGTTTGGTTTAGGTTTTTTCCAGTCTCTATGCTGGTGAAGAAAGACTTAAAATTGAAGGATTAACAGGTTGTGCTTGGATGCATTTTCACACCCTGAGTATTGACAGATTGCCCAAATGTCTCTCTCTGCTGGACAGACTGACCTGTCAGTGCAGTGACCAGTGGTTTAGAAAGCTGGAATTTTTATATTCTATATTAATAGGAAAGCCTGAGACTGTGAGTATGTATTGTGCAATGCAATACCCAATAGTATGAGAGACACAGGGGAAGTTCATTGTGCCTGTAGCTATAATAGTATGTTAAATACCAGGGTTATTAATCTTTCCTCACCTCAGAAACTTGTAGTCCATGTATTAATATATTTTTGTATGAGATTTAATTGCTCAGACTTGTAACATCTGAAAACTTAAGATCCCACTGTGACTTGAGTCTTGAGAAATGGCTTGTATTTAAAAGCAGCAAATTATTCTTTTGATTATATTACATTTTTAGCGGCACATGGAGGTTCATCTGTGTTTGCTTGGAAGGTTAAGTTTGAAGGATGGGTATTAGGTGGCAGAGAGCAGACACACACTGTAGTTAGGCAGCCCGCAAAGCCTGGTGGCTCCCCCACCTGTGTCTCTCACGTGATAAGGGTGTTAGTAATATACTGAATTTCGGAGTCTCCCTATTGAAAGGGACAGGCTATCTGGGTTCTCTGTTGGTTCTCTATAGTGGCAGGTGGTAGACGCAGGCTTTTCTTCCTTTCTTTGACGATACAATGAGCATTATTCAATAAGAAGAAATTAGTGTTTTCTGTAGAAATCAGCATAATTCATAGAGCACATTGGCATCAAACCACGCAGTACCGTTATCCAGCTAGTGTAGGTGTCACAGCCACAGCCCAGCAATTCATCTTCCTCATCTCGAGGCAGCTCAGCGGCCGCTAACCCGGGAAGCTCTGGGTTGTGCCGTGCTGTAGCGGCGCGCTTCCAGTCCACGTAACTTCCCCCTGAACCCACTCAAAAGATGTTTGCAACGTCAAATAGATGAAAATAATTTCTCTGCAGGGATATCTCTGCTATAGCTCCACCAGGTCTGGAATCGCGCTGTGAACTAAATCTAGCTTATCTTTGTATTGTTCTGGTTAAGCCAAGCATCTCATTGTATTCATAAATCTGTTAAAGTCAGTGGGGAAGCCTGTGGCAGAGAGCTTTGCTGGTCTGGGATCTGAGCGAGGTTGACTAAGGAGCATACCTGGAAATTTACACTTTAGATGAAACGATGTTTTTGTTAATCAGCATTTGCCTGTATGACATACCTCAGCACCAGCCCTGGAGGTAAGATCTTTTACAGATGAGTGGAGACCAAGACTCAGATGAGGGCAATGATGTTCCAAAAGTAAAGAGCAGCCAGGAGTGATGCTGGGATGGGAATTCCAGAGTTACGGCTTCCTGCGCTTAACTTAAATCATGTCAGCACCCTGTTCACTATCGTAAAGAAATTACCACAATAAAACACCTTAATGTTTATCTTAACATAATAAAGAAAGGTATTTCTTACAATAAAATATGATTAGACCTGTGGAAGAAGGAATAGTTTCTAAATTCGCTTTGGATGAAGGCAAAGTGTACTTTTTATTACACGGTTTTGCCTTTCATATAAGCTCAAAGTAGCAATGCTTACTTTTAAGAGTTAAAAAAAAATTAAAAGGCTAGAAAAATTTTTAAAATGTTTTGACAGTCAATCTGTCATCATTGTCTTCTCAAGAATGCATGCAATTTTTTTTTTTTTTTTTTTAAAAAAGGCAAAAGGAGAGGGTTTTGTTGAATGACATTGATCTTCTTAGGAGTTCTTGTTCAGTTTTCTGCTCATTAATCTCCTGACATGGAAACAGACTTGAAAAGGCTGAGAACTATGACATCAGATGTAGCTTTTATGTATGTCATCAGGTCTAGCAATATCCTGAACTTGATTTTTTTTTTTTTAACAGCAAGAACCAATATTTGGAAGTCACGCTTTTTTTCTGTGCTTCTCTTCACTTTGATGTGCAACACCCAGTATACCTTCAGAAGATTTAGAAAATAGACTTCTTGCAAAGTTTCATCCTGACTTTTGAAAATTAGTTTCAGTTCTTCTAGCCTATGCCAACAACATTTTTGTGGCTCTGCATATTGTTAAAAAGTGCACAGGACAGGAATGTATAGAAAAATGAGATAGAAATTTGGACTTGAGAAACAAACTGGTGGACGTAAGTGCAAGTTTTCATATTGAGTGACAAAAATTAGAGACCTCAGTACAGCAGGGATAGAGAAGAGGTGACAGAAGAAACAGTGTAGGAGACATAAGTCATATACTTGGTATATTTTCTCCTTTTAAAGAAAGTGTAAGGGAACACTGTATAGTTAAAACAGCTTGAATTCAAATGCTGTTTATAATACAAAGCTAAGAAATTCACTCCCAGATTTATCACTGGATAATATGAAAAAAGGGGATCTTTATTGATTTTTATCTCCTAGAGCGTCAGAAATGACGCGAGGCCTCATGTCACCAGTACAACAGAGCGGCTGATCTGGGCTTGGACACCAGCACAGTCCAGCAGCTTCTCTGTGGTGGTTTGGGGAAGTTTCTGTACAGTATTTGGCAGTTTGTTGCCTCTTGGCCACATGGCCTGTTAATAGGCTAAAGCTATTTGTTTATATGGTGGCAAAAATGTTTTGCATGTGTACAAACCGCGTAGTGGGGAGGATTTGAGGGTTGTTTCTTTATTTGATGTTATGCTGAGCTTGCTTAGAAATATTTAGATCGTTGGCTCTTACACAACTGTCCTTTTTTTTTTTTTTCTTCTTTAATACAGTTTTCTGGTATGTATTTATACTGGAAGAAATCTAAGTGCCTTTTTGTATAACCCTTCATATCTTGGTTTCTGTAGCTGAGTGCCTGATAGTCAGGATTCTGCCTGCTGCTGTACTGCTGCAATGATGAGAGCTGCCAGTTGTTACCAAGTTCCCTGTGACCTTTAGAGTCCTCTTACAGGGCAATATTGAAAGTATTTTCCATGGCTGTTGAGATACTATTTGTGAATCCTTTCAGAATTCCATGCCTTAATTTGTATTATGGACATGGAAGTGAATTGGGGCAATTAAAGTACTTTAAGTATGTGCCTGTTTATTTTTTTTGTGGGAAAACAAAACAAAACAACCAAAATAATAACCTTTTTGTTTTGAAAAGCTAGCAAATCTTTCCCAGAAATTAGACACTGTTAGGTTTTTATTTTGCTGTAATACTGTGTCTACAACCAGACAACGTGTTTATAGTGAAACTCACTTCAGTGGAAATTTAGGGACCAGGAGGTTTCACTGGAGCTTGCCAAGGGCAAATGGGCCTTGATGAGCGTCTGGATGGAGACTGTGAAATTAGAAAAGACATCTGAGAATACGTCCTGAAGCCCTTTTTAAATTACCTTGCGCTGAGTGCAAGACTTCAGAATGTGCTTGAAGTAGAACTGGCATTTCCCAGCAAAAGCTAAGAGTAACTGCACATACTGCCCTTTACTGGAAAGCAAAACCAAATCAAATTCACGTCTCTGGTACACCGTTCTTGTTTCCCTTCATATGAAGTATGTCAAGGGCTGGCTAAAGCCACGATGAAGCCGGTAACATTGGTCTGAATTGTTTCAGTCCATGCTCAGCCTTTCAGCATTTTCACCCTGCCTTTTCTCTCACTGTGTTCAGATTGCTGCTGATCTGAAATGCCGACATCACTTACACTGCTGACACGATGTAACGCATACACCATTTCTTCCCCCAGCTGGAATCACCAAATTATTCACGTTTACAGAGAGACTGAAACTCCAGAGAAGAACTTGGTGATCTAGGAAATACGTACCAGTGACAGAACAAGGGAAAGGAGGTGAGAGTGGCTGGGTCGGGCAGGCTGTGCAGCGGGTTGTCCAGGTCCAAGGGTGTGATCACAGAGTAGGGCAGGGGAAAATCCTTTTGCTAGGAATCTCTCTGCAGCGTTGAGCAGCTGATGCGCCCTTTAGTTTCTTAAAATACACCTGCATGGGATAGAGGTAGATTCTTCTCTCTTCTGGGAAATCACATGCAACTTGCACGTTTCCTGATGCATCAGTGCAGCAGAGCGCTCTGCATCCACAATCACTCTCCTGTGTGGCAAAAACTATTTTTCATTTTATGAAGTGCACGTTTTATTTAATGAATTATTAATGCAAGCAAAGCAAAACACAGAATTCATTCACTCTTTCCCATCAGCAGGCAGATGTTCAGCCATTTCCAGGAAAGCAGGGCTTCATCAGGCGTGATGGTTACTCGGGCAGACAGACACCGTAACGCCGAACGTCCCCCTTTCCTCCTTCCCCCCCCCCGATTTTTTTGCTGAGCACACCACCATGTGGGATGGGACATCTCTGGGGTCAGTTGGGGTCAGCTGTCCTGGCTGTGTTCCTTCCTGGCTCCTTGTGTCCCCCCCGGGCTCCTCACTGGCAGGGCAGGGTGAGAAACAGAAAAAGCCTTGACGCTGTGTAAGTCCTGCTCAGCAATAGCTAAAACATCAGTGTGTTGTCAACACTGGTTTGGTCATAAATTCAAAGCATAGCACCAGATGAGCTACTATGAAAAAAAAATTAACTGTCCCAGCCAAAACCAGTACAATCCTACTTGTATCTGGTGATGTTTTCTTCTAGGTTTTTGTTAATCCCAACATATTTTACATAGTTACTGCTTTAACCACTTAAACAAACAAACATTTATTCCTTTTGCTAGGTAACTGAGTGCAGTGCTACTTTGGGAAGGAGGCTTTTTTTTTTTCCCTCCTTCAGTTGTCTACTTCAAAATGTGGTTCCAGATTACAAAAGCAAAACAATCTTTCCCCAAGGATTATTTGTCCTGCAAAGACTTTTCAAATTCTTTAACCTGTAGTTCTACTCTCTTGAAGTCTTAGGAATTGATGTAAACCATATGCTTGTTTATTGTCTTTGTATACATTTTACTAGTCATAGAGAAACTGAGAAGATGTTTAATGTGTAGGGTTTTTCTCCAAGCTTAAGTAATTGTTTGCCTTAAGTGAGCATTAGATATCCTGTTTTACTTTGCATAAAACAAGTATGCAGTCTCTTTCGTTGCACAAAAGAAAACAATTGTTCTTGAATTCTCATTATATTCTCATTGTTTCTAAATATTTTTTTTTTTTTAAAGAAGCACTTGTTTAAAATAATAACCAATTAAAAAGCATGCTTCAAATGAAATGGGATTTGGGTTACTGGGAAAAGATGGTCCTTACGCTTGATGTGTTTTAAGTGCAAAGTGTGTGACCTACAGGTGTTGAATATACAGTAATTCTGCTTGGCTTTAGGCCATTAAATTAGCCACCCTGCTTTCTTTAGCTTGCTGGGAAAATTGCAAATGCATTGGTTTGTGTCTCCTTGGCAGTTAGGAGTTTAGCAGGACATTGATTCTTAGCGGCCTTCCAGACAGAGTCCCATTGTTTATCATTAAACTCTGCCAAGAACTTATCAGATGCTGTGTAATGAGCCCCCTTCTTTTAGAGATGCTTCGGTGCTGAAAAGAAACTGCTAACAATTACTGACTTTCATTTCGTAGTAGTCATTTGAAATGAGAAAAGCTTACTGCTTACTCTATTTTAACTTCTTTTTTTAATGGTTTCATCTGGTATGTCGGAGGATGCTTGTTAAATAGGATTTTTCAGTCATGGGCATTTTAAGCATTTGCGTGTGGCAGGTATGGATTTGTCACCGTTAGTATTTCATTTCTCAGGTGTGGTGTGGTTCAGGGGTTGTTGCTTTTTCTCCATCGATGTGCCAGCGCCATAGGTATGAACTTGGTAAGGAAACTGATTTAGTAAAAAAAAAAAAAAAAAATCCCCAAACACGACCAAAATGACGTGTGAAGATGTGCGTTCTGTGCCCTTTGGTGAGAACTGCTGAGGTGGATTAAAGGCTCGTTGCTGCCCAAAGAGCCTGTGTAATTCCTCTGCTCTCCGCTTCCTTCTTTCCTCCTTTTCTGCAGAACGGAGAGGCCGGGCGGGCGCTCCTGCAACTGAGCAAATGTCTGGAGCAATCGCAGCTGCGCGGTGGGAGAGCTGCCTGCTGCAAGCTCCGCGGGCAGCCGATGGTGGCCAGGGGACCCCCTGGGCTTTTCCTGACTCTGTGGCCCATTTCAAGTCTCTTAGACTATCTAGAAATTAGATATGTCATCAGCTTTAAAATATTACTCTCACTGACACTATTGCAAGTGATTTCTAAGACTTGCAAGTGAATCGGGCATCTCTGCTTCCCACTTGGCCTCACTGGTGTGATGGAACATACTGGATATATTCAGTGTGCATTGTAAGTGTAACATTTCTGTTTTCTCAATTACAAAATGCAGCAGAAGGGGCTATCAAGTTCCAATTTCTTAACAATTTTTAAAAGCCCGTCTTAAAAGTTATTAATCAAAATGTTAGAAGTCCTAGAAGATGCTGTATTTTGAGGTAAAACTTTACAAGTAAGAGGCGATAGGAGGGGGTTACGGAAGACACAATGCAACCAAGCAAACCTTCTATGCATTTAGAAAAATATGTGACTTACTACAGGGGAACAGTGATTAATGACCACTGGGCAAAGAAAATGAATCTATAATGATAAAAAGCATCACTGGTCACATCACCCATCATCTTCAATCCCTCTTTATAAAACAGTACTGCCATAGGATGCAGCAAGGGAGGACCCATGTGTTGAGAACCAGGCTCCAGCGGATAATTTAAGTTCAGATCTACTGGCTGCATATTTCTGTGGTAACTATTTGATCATTTGCTTTACTGAATCCTCTCGCAGCTTCGTTGGCACCGTTCTGTCCCCCCGCTGTCGCCTGGGTTAGCCGTTCGGGCGGCACGCTGGCTACATCTACATCCCCAGGACAGATCTGTACCAAGTGACACTCCCTCTTCGTGTCCCGCAGCACACGGTGTATTTGTTCTGTCCTAAGAGCTGCGTGCCTACGGGAGAGCTGACGAGCTGCTGCTGCAGTTAAGGGGGCCAGAAGTGAAAAGACTAATTTTTGCACGTGGAGGATCAAATGTAAGAGATTGTGGTACGGTTCAGCCGTGTGTGAATGCATCGTTTTTCAGTTCAGGCTGTCTTGTCTTTTGTTCTGACTTGTTCTCTCCAGCTGTGCTTTCATAGGCACTGCTTTGGTTTCCTCACCATTTGTTTCCTTCTTAGTCATACAAGTTGTTGATGAATTATATCATCTCCCTTATATCAAGGGAGATTCATCTTCATTTAGTTTAAAATTGTGCCTAAGAGTATTTCTGTTGTTTCTTCCACTTTCTCTGGACTCCACACTTATGGAAAAGTGCTGACATCCCCCAAAAGGAATCTCAACTGTATTTCTGTGCCCAGATGCTAATCTGGTCCATGGGAAACCGTTTCAGTTTTGTTGTTTGCTTGCTTGTTTCCCACTTAAATTTTTTTGCAATGTAGTAGGCTTGTTACATTCTTGGGATATTTGGAGTTCTTTAAGCTAATTGTGAAAATCCTGTTCCTAATTTTGTCTGTGCTTAAAGTTACCTTTCTACTTTAAATCACCTTTTGATGGTGACTTACAGCCTTCTCTCCTCTATTGTAGGAATACTTCCACAGACTTTGTTGAGTAACATGGAGAAATTAAGCTTAAAATATTATTTTTAATGTAAGAATAAGAAAAGGAGTGATCAGAATGACTTAATCTTACCTTCTGTGTATGCATTTAGGTAGACGTATTCTGTTCTATGGATTTTCTTTTTCTGAACTTAAACTCTGGCCCTATAGAGGTTGATGGCAAATTTTGCTGTTACTTTCAATGATCGGGAATAAAATTATTTTAAATCCCTTTAACACTCTGAATATTTTTCTTGCTCTTATCATAGAGCAAAAATAAGATTTTTCATTTTTTTTTCCCCTAGCTTCTCTCCTTCACAATTTTCTGCAGTTTAGTTCTTACCATTATCTGCTCAACTCTCATTGTAGTTTTAAAACGGGGCGAAAACAATGTCATTAAAGGATTTTTATTTTTTTAAAAACCCCCAAATGAAATATTTTGGTGAGATTTTAAGAAATTTTAAAAAAAAAAAAAATGCTCCTTTTGAAATCCAGGCTACAAAAGTGGCCTCTGGATTTTGAAAGGAAACTGTCCTCTGTTTTTTGCGAGCTCTGGTTGTTTTGACGGGGCTGGACTTTAAACACGTTTCCCTGGCACTCCTGTAATGCAGTATTTTGGGCTGCACAGCTTTCTAGAGGATGGCCCGGCTGGAGCAACGTGTCCTGGGGCTGCAGAGCGCGGGCGTCCCCCCGGGCCGGTGCCCAGAGCCCTGGGGAGCCTCCGGCCCCCACGGGGACACTCGCATCCCCACGCTCGCCCGTGGGTACAAACCACCTTGCTGGAAGCTGGGGTTGGGATAGGAGCACAAAGAGGGCAAAGTACAGCAGCTTGGCTATGCTAATTAGGTAGACATAATCCTCAGACTTGATAAGGTGATCTAATTATTACCTTTTTTGTAATTTATATGTAAATTCTTTTTTTTTTTTTTTTTTTTTTTTCAAAATGGTGCAAGAGTAATCGCGAATACTCAGGGTGACATAGTAACAGGCATTGGAGCATGAGTTAGCAAGTGCCTCTTCAGTCAAATTGAGAAATTGAGACCACTTCAAAATAGTTTGTGGTGCAAGAGGAAACATTTTGAGTGATACTTCCACTTAAAGAGAGAGAAAAGCAAACTCAGAGCATGTGCCTACTTACTCTGTCCATGTTGCTTTTAACGCACGCATCCCCAGAGAGCCAAGTCAAATTTAATTAATTGCTTTCAACAGTCATTACACTTTTCTATGAATATTTGATTTTGGTTTTGAATGGCCT